AATTCTATTTCAAAATACTGAAGTACTAGACAACACCAGCAATCATTATGTTAGACTGCCCAGGGAAGCCACTGAAATCCACAAACACCAGCAGAGCTTCAACAAAAAAGAAGTTTAAAACTCAACAAAACCTGGCTCCCAGCATTGAAAAATACAGCCTGCAAAAAGTCAACAAACTCTACCTAGCCACAAGAACCGGTGATCACTGCACACAAAAGACCAGCTAATGATACCCATCAATCACAGTGACAGATAATCTTTCCCTCTTATCACAGCAATACACCCGCAACAAAAAACACGTTGATCACCACAATCACCCATCTTCTGAGAAGAACAAAAGCTGATCCCACAGCTATACTCAACTATCCAAACTGCACCAGAGCACAGAGTTCTGACGCCCATCCTCTGAAGATGCCGGCCACAGAGACTGGCGAAACATTAGAAAGAACAATCTTCAGAACACGACCAAAGAGCCCGAAAAACCCACAACAACCTTCCCTCATGTCTTAACAGAATTTGGAAAAAAAATACTTTTAAAGTCTGTAACTTCCAGAATCCCTCAGCCATGGGAGATGTAGTTGAAAAAGTAACTTTTCCAAGCTCTGGTTCTTAACTTGATGGGAGAGGAAAAAGGAATGATGGCCAGGCTTGGTCACATAGGCTAAAGGTGCATGAGTTATTATATATAAAGGACGAGGCAGTAAAAGTAAAGGGTTGTGTGCTAAAAATTATAGCATGGCACACCATTCTGACTATAAAAGTCCAAAAGTACACACACGAAGAAGGGTCCAGTTTTTAATCTGTTATTCCCAGACCTTCTATTACTCATAAACCACTTCTACACTCTGTGGCTAATGTCACCAAAATGCCTTTACACAGCAATGTGGCCCAAGAATTTGATGAATCAGACTCATGAGATGTAATATCCTAGGGAAATGTTTTGCATGAATGCTAAATGTGTCAAAGAAGGTACGGTGAGCAGATTAAAACTAAGGTTAATATCATGGTTGCAGTGTTGCAGAGAATGCTCAGATGATGAGCGGAGAGGTTTATGGTTTTTTTGACTGCTGGTAGCAGCTGCCTTCAATGAGAATACAGACATCCTTGCTCTAGGCAAGCAATGAAACAATCAGGCCTGGGATGCAGTATGAAACTTCACCCTATGTCTGACAAACCCAAGAACAGAATGTCACAATTGGGAAAAAACAGGGCTTGCCTATCATATTCTCAATGTGATCATCCTGCTACAGCTCATTGCACCTGCCCTGAAACTGTTTATAATACTGCACACACTACCACAAGATGTTTGTGTGATGCCAGCTGGAGGCAGCAGAAGCACAGATTGTAATTCTAGCACATATTCTCCTCTCCTCCTTTTCATTGTGAGACAAAATGCAGCATCCAAGAATTACACACTTGAACTCCCATCCAAGCGCTTACATCACTGACACACCCCTCTGTTAAGGGCGGCTCTGCTTTACACTCTTCCTTGATCTAAAGAAGCTGCTAGGAATGCACACAGCAGCATGGCTCTGGGATGCTCTGGAGAGAGGAGCATTTCCTTCCTTCCACACTTGTTCTGTCTTTTGCAAAGGATTTCACAGTGCACACAATCTTAGTCTCATTGCTGTCTCTACCTTCATTTTCTAGTGTAACTTTTCAAATATAAATTGTTGCAAATTTTAACATGTATTAGCTTAAGCTAATCTGCATTAATAACAACAACACCCAGAAGACCTTGAACAAGCATAGGTAAAACCTCAGGAGCCAGAAGAGGAGTACAGAGGACCCCCGTTACTCAAGAGCAGGGCTTCAGCACCTTATTTAGTGCTGTGAATTTCCTATGGGCTAGCAGAAAAAAAACATGCCAGGCAAGAAAGAAAAATAAAACAAACAGTCTAAAATTACATAATCTATGGAAGTCATGAAGGAGTGCATCATTTTAGGGAAGAATGTACACTGCATGCTTGCAGCCCATTGACTCCACAGGGTGTGATTTCACTCCAGGCAGTCAGTCTTTTAACCGGTTCACCCCATTCCTCCATTCTTCAGAGCAAAGGCTGCATTCCATCACATCTCTCAAACCAGAAAGTGAGGCATTTCAATATCTTGCAATCTAAAACCAACCCAGCTTTCAAAAGAAGTACATTGCTGTTGAAGGACATATTTTACAGAGGCAGCTGAAGGTACAAATCCACCATCCGTCTTTAAAGTTGACCGATTTCCTAGGTTCTCTTAATCTAAATATACAGTGGTGCCCCATATAGCAACGTTAATCCGTTCCAGGATTTACGTCACTATCCGGAAACATCGCTAAACAGAACTGAAAACCCCATAGGAACGCATTAAACTCTGTTTAATGCGTTCCTATGGGGCGAAAACTCACCAGTAAGCAAAGATTCCCCATCCGGCCACCATTTTCGCCGCCTCAGTAAGCGAGGGCAGGGCACGAAAACGGAGCGGGCAGCCATTTTCTGCACCCGGTGGCCATTTTGGAACCGCCTATCAGCTGTTTCCCTAACATCGCAATGTGAAGATCGTAAGCGAAACGCTTACCGATCATCGCAATGCAATTTTTGGCCTAATCATCGCAATGCGATTTTTGGCCTATCTAAACATCGCAATGCGATCGCATTAGCAATTGCAAAAACCGTGTCACAATGTGGATTCGTTGTTAAACAGTGTGCTTGTTAAGCGAGGCACCACTGTATTTTGTCTGATAAACACAAGTAAAAAGAACCTCAGTTTCTTAATAAAGAGTCAACAAGCCAAACCTTCCTACTTGTCGTGCAAGGCTAAAGATATGCATATGGCAGATGAAGCCAAGCAAATGTTATCACTTTCCACACTTCTCAAAAATTCCTTCCTTTGTTGTAGCTTCATATGTAGGAAGCAACTCAAAAACAATGGCCCAAAAGCACAGAAACTGAGTTTCTCCTATTTATTTCTTCTTGGGGCTACATTTTTACATACTATGGGCCCTTTCTAAGGAGCACTGATACAAACTTAGAACTCCTCCTGATGTTGTCTTTCATATACCAAACTCACAGCAATACAAAAGTGGCTTGTCTCCAAGTTAAGGCAGTCACTCCTCATCCCAAGGAGGAATGGTTTATTTGAACTGATGATTGTAATACAGATAACTTTATTGGAAAATGGCATTCCAAAGAGTGAGGAAGATGTTAGGTTCCGACCGCTCAGGGATGCTCTTTTGTCTTTTAGACAGCAATAGAGGTCACGCTTGTCCTATCAGAGGCAGAAAGCCCATGGGAGGGTTATTCCTTCTATAGTCCAGTGTTACACACCTTCCTGAAGGCATTACACACTGTTCTGTGTGTCTCTGAGGAGAGAGGTCTGTCTCCCAGCATCTGAGATTCTCTACTCGGAGGAGGGCAACAATGATCAGGCCACTGCACCTTCTTCAGCCACATAGGATTCCTCCCTCCAAAGCTGGACACGGCCCTCTGAAGCAGTAAGCAGGCAAGGCTCAGTTGGGTGGAAGGACAGAGACTGGACTGCAGTGTTGCTCACAGGCAAGGCCAGAGTAAGGGATCCCTGTGAAGAGAGATGGGGAAGTATGCATGGGAGGAACAGAAGGCCTATGAAGAAGTGTTGTGCACCACTGTTCACCCTGTGCAATAGGAGCTCCATCCAATCTGAAGATCTTTGCACCAAAGAAAGATGAATCCATTATCATTTCAAGGCTAACCTAGCAGAGAAATACAGGTCAGTGCTATGAAGACACCAAACACAGATCCATGGTTCTCTATCCAACTATGACACCAATAACTCTCCATTTTGCCCATCTTGGATCCTTCCCCCAAATTTTTTTTATTTTTTTGCTTTATAATGCCAAACTGTGCCTGCCAGAAGCCTTGGGGCCCACTGCCATTTAAATGTCTTCCCCATAACCTATCTTATCATCCATAAAGAGCCTTTTAAGAAACTGGAAGTGATTGTGCTAGAGGCCCTACCATATAGGCCACAGGCTGCACTTTGCCTTCCCTTGCTCTAAAAGCTGAGAACAGGGGAATGTGGCTACTTGTTGCTGAATGAGCAACGGGGGGGGGGGGACCTCCAAATTTAAAGCACCTAGTGAAATGGAAGAAAGTGCCAGGCAGCACATAAACCTCAGTGTGAAGGGAAAGCAAAATTATTTTCCTTACAAGATAAAAAAAAATCTTGCACTAAGCTTCAAACCAAATGATAATCAGATTTCACAGATAATGGCTCACTCACAGATTTCAAATACAGTGGGGTCTTGACTTGAGAACTTAATCCGTATTGGAAGGCAGTTCTCAAGTCAAAAAGTTCTCAGGTCAAACCTGCATTTCCGATAGGAATGCATTGAGAACCATTTGATCCGTATCTGCTCTTTTCCGTCCATAGAAACTAATGGGAAGCTGCTATTCTGCCTTCGACCACTAGAGGGGGATATTTGGTTTCTTTTTTTCTTAGGTCAAGAAAGGTTCAGAGAAGGCAGGGAAAATACAGTCCAAGCAGTACAGTACCAGGCAGTCCGAAGACTGTCTCCCAATCCACTCTCTTAACGCTGGGAGGAGTGAGGAAGCAGACAGGCACCCTTTTCACTGGCCAACAGTTAACTGAAAGTTCACATTTTGCACTTTCCCTCCCTCCCACGTGGGTTTTTTTCAGTTTGTAACTCAAATCTAAGTATGTAAGTCAAGTCAATATTTTCCTATGAGAGTGGTTCTTAAGTCAAAATGTTCTTAACTCGAGCCGTTCTTAAGTCAAGACCCCACTGTATAGACAGAGCACTCTATTAGCCATTACTGCTTAACTTCCATTTAGTTCCCAGGTTAAAAAAGGTTCTCTGGCAATTTTGCTGTTCTGTTCCAACAAAGAAATGGTCACTCTTGCTCTCAAATAAATCACTAGGCACAAGGCTGACAGTGCCTGCCCTCAAACTGGAGGGTTGGCTGCATTGTTCTCCAGCGACATCATAGTGACCTGTGCTATCAGCAAAGTTCCCTTTCTACATACTACAGCCAGCCACAGTGTTTGTACTGTATCTCCACTCCTATGAAGACACAGATGTAACATGACTGCCAGAGAAGAAAACTGTACGTTTCTCTAGGCAACTGCACTTACCTCAACCAGGTCCCAAAAATACACCTTCCCATCCTCAGAGCAGCTCCCAACATGTGTGTCTCTCTCACTCAGGCAACAGTCCATTTTGTAAGTCACATTTTTGTGGCCTGTATATCTAGAAGGGGTGAAATGTGAAAGAGAATTAGGAAATTATTTTCCGTTCAGCCAGACTTTCCCCATCAGTCCCACTTTGGTTGCTACCAGTCCATGGCCAAGACGACAGATGCAGACTAACAAATGGCCCAAGTCCATTTGAGACAGGTAAAAAAACATGTTTATAAAATATATACACATATAAAAGATTTATGCAGCGAGGCAAGTTTCTTTTCCACTCTAGCCATGGGTCAGGAATGTTAGGTCTTGGGAGTCAAATTCAGCTCTCTCAAAGACCGACACTAACCCTCCTGGGGTTCCTCTGGTGACTCCCTTCCATATAGCTCTATTATGTCCCCCACCCACCCGTTCTAAAATAGATGAAATGCTTCTCCTAAGGCTTAGCTACTGGAAGGATTCCAAGTCCCACATGTGGAGTGAAACACCAAAGAAATTCTCTATGTGTATGAACTGATCGACATACACATTTTGAACAGTGAAATCCAACTGTAAGCACCCTTTAGGGACTTCAAGGGTAGGAAGGAATAATTGTACTGCTTACTCTCCTAGCAGCTCTCCAGTATCTTTGTCCAGCAATCGCAGCGTAGAGTCTAAACTGGCAGCCAAAGTACACTGCCCATCTTTGCTGAAAGAGACGCAAGTGATTGGACCTGTAAAGAAAATGGGCTCCATTGCTTCGGGCTGTGGATCTGGGCGTGCTCATGCGCACGAAGGCTGGGCAAGGCCCGACAGCAGCAACACCGAGCACTCTGAGAGTTTTCTAAGAACTTTAATCTGTTTTAAAAATTGAAATAATTATTCTTTCCAGGATAATAGTAGCTTTTCTCCCTCAGTTATTTTGTTAAAACTAGTCAAATGCATGTTGCCCACTGCTCTGAATAACTGGGTGCAATTCTGAGATCTATGCAATGTTCACCTTCGTAGAAGCCCACTGACTTAAACCTGAGGAACAGCTACTGAATAAAAGATGAAATAAATACACAGTAATTCTCTTTCTCCGCTAGGACCTCAGAAGCAAAGAGGACACATTACAGCACAGAATTATCACCTTGAAGCCTCTGGCTTTCATTTCAACACTCACTTCCAATATAATCTGAGTAAAGTTCTCCAGCACGGAGGTCATAGCGCCGCACACGCCCATCCACAGAACTGAGAAAGAAAAGAGAGGCATTGGGAGGCAGTAACTGGGAGTAATCAAAAGCTTGTCAGACATGCAGATTCCCCTGATGCTGACATCTCAGACTGCATACTTTAAACTTCTAGTTTTCAAGTCACAAAGCTCAGGTTCTATGACTGTTATGTGTCCAGGGAAGCCTTGGTCAAATTTTCTTTGATTTGTCAAATATCTATCCCTAAAGTTGACATAATACTGCAAGTCTTTCACAAACCACACTCTCCTCTTCCTACATCTTTAACAGAAATTCTTATAACTTTCCAGGCTTTGCTCAAAAAGAAAAAGTTACTTAAAAAAAAAACATTCCTAGAAATATACATAATGACAGTGTATTTTTAAATTTTTTGATTATGGACTTCCTCACTGAAAATGAGCAGAAGGATTAAACACTCATGGATGAACTGGGAACACTCAACAGGCCCCAGCAGGATCAAGCTCAGACATAACAGAGGAAGGAATCTGTTTTCTCCAGTTCTGCCTTTAGCTCTGACTTAGCACCATTTTTCCTTACCCAGCAAGGATTTCATGATCTGACACCTTCAGACTGGAGATGCCGTCCTTGGCCTCATCTAGAATCTGGACAGGATTCAATCTGCGTGAGCGGCAGTCCCAGCAGCGGATACTGGAGTCTATAGAACCTGCACAAGACAGAAAAGCATGTGAGGTAGACTCCAAATCATATATTCTGAGAGCAACAGGGAAGCAGGGTGACAAAGTAAGTGTTCCTCACCTGACAGGATCACAGTTGCCTCCTCATTGAATTCCACACAGTTTACTTTCTACACATTGAGAAGAGACAATGAAGAAGTTGTGAACAGCTATGGTCACAAAGTCTATATCTATCGTCATATCCTTGGAATCAGATGCATGTACAGAAAACCCACACTCACTTGTTTCATTCCCCCACTTTTCAACAATTGACAGGAAGTGCCCCAAATATTGGAATTCTTAGAATTCTCCTACAGGGTCCATTAGAACCACCCAATTACTATCCCCTACAAGTGCAAAATCCAAACCAGGCTTATAACAGCATTCATTATTTTGGTGTATTAAAGATCATCAAAAGCATGATAGGATGAGTTTTGTGGCCTACAGCCCATTTTATTAGACATTTATTTATTTATGTATTATCAGATTTATATCCCACCCTTCTAGACTGGAGTCTTACTCAGGGCAGCTCACAATACACTGTACACAAACAGATAAAAACAACAATTAAAATCTACAATAATAATATGATCAAGATGGAATAATATGATCAACATATGGAATGTTATGAAGAATTTCAAGTATATGTATTTATACAGAATATATCTTCACAGAAGCCTATGCTATCATGCATTTGTTGGTTTTGAAGGTGCTGCGAGACTGTCTTGATTTTGCTCCAACAGGTTAACACAAATGTTGTTCTGTGATGTCAAGTGACCTCCAGCCTGTCCTGACCCTGTAAAGAAGTGATCTCTAAAATGTCCTATCATTAATAACCCTACTCAGCAATTTTAAATTCAACCTCATGGCTTCCTTCATGAAGTCAACCCATGTCATACTTGGTTTTCCTCTTTTCCTGTTGCCTTCAACACAGATACCCCAGTGCAAATTAATTATTTTGCCATGTTGCCCTGAATTCCTTCTGCTATCCAGTAAAACAACTGGATTCTTTTATACCAAGTGCCAATTGCTTACCTCTGTATTCTCAGTCCTTATCTAAGTCTCACATTATGCATGTTTTCTGGTGATTCCACAAGGAATTATGTTAATTCTCTAACTTCTCATGACACAGTGGTTAATTTGCTGTGCTGCAGCCAAAAATGGGTTGACAACCCAGGATTTAATCCCAAGCAGCCAGCTCAAGGTTGACTTAGCCTTCAATCCTTCCAGGTCAGTAAAATTAGTACCCAACTTGCTTGGGGAGGGCAATATGTAGCCTGCATAATTAACTTGTGAACCACTCAGAGAGCGTTTTAAGTGCTATGGGGCGGTATATAAGGAGCACACTTTGCTTTGCTTCTATACCTTCTGCCTGACCTGCAAAAAAAAAAACCCTCCCACTGTAATGGATCAACTGCATTTAGAACAGTTTCCTCTTCCAAATATATGCCTCCCTGTTTTCCGGGAACTCCCAAAGGACAGAAGAGGTCTTACCCCTGCATGGCCACGGAACTTGCGAACCACCTGCCCTGTGGCAACATCCCATAAGATTACCGTCTTGTCTCCTCCGCATGAGCAAAGTTGGCTGTTATCAAATGACCTGTGACAGGAAAAGAGAGGAACAAGGATGAGAACTAGGGACTTATTCAACTTATATCAACTTATTCTGGCTTCTAAATTTCTTATTTATAAATTATTTATTATTTCAATTTCCTAGAGCCCAGTTCTACGGCTGCACATGCCTTTTCAAGACAATTGTGTAAGTGCAGATCAACTATAATGGGGAATCTCAGGTGTATGTTTTTTCCAAGTTTCTAGCCATTAAGGCAGGAAATGTTTGACGATGCCTGCTCTGTGATAATTCTGCTCAATTCCCATCCCAGTTCTTAAATATTTGTTTATATTTTCAATCCCTGCTTTTTGCTCCAACAGTTAGTAGAAACAGGAAGTTCTTTCAAACTAAAAGCACAGTTTTAAATTTGTTTAGTTTGTTATTGGCAGTTTTGTGGGGAAATGTATTGGGATTTTTGCACCACGAAAGAACAAGACTCTATGTCTCATTTTTCTATGAAGTTGTATGCATTGTGGTTTCATTATAGCACCTTGTAATAAAACAACTTTCAACAAAGACATTTATTTTACCTTGTCAACTTCTCATACAGCACACTGGAGCTCTGGCAAAGTCACACACATTGCCCGCCTAACCTGTTTACCATCTAAAATTCTCTCATGCTATTCTAAAGCAAAATCTATTCTGTCTTCTAATGAAAGTTGGTCCCTCTGCCCTGGCTCTTACCCTGCTGCATCAAGAACTTCATAGCCATGGCCACTGTATGATTTGAGGGGAGTCCCTTTGTAGGGGTTCCAAAGCTTGAGTGACTTGTCGCTGCCACAGGTGAGACAATAATTGCCATCCACTAGAAAAAAATAAAATGAAAAATCCAAACTTTCTGATCATTATTCAGCCTAGCAAACACCAGTAAAATTCTTAAAACAGTAGCCTTTCCTATTTCCTCTTGCACTGTAGATTCTATCATTTTCCCTACAATCCCAAGATTCTACCCCCAACAAGTCTGACCCTTAATATCATTATGATCATTGTATTGATTTAACAAGACTCTAAACACTAGATCCACTTTTGTTACAGGGAACTGCTCTTTAGTTTTACATCCCTACTAACTCAGCACTATGTCCCACTTATAGGAACAGGATGGACTCACCATTGAACCTCACTGCTCTGACAGCTCCCTGTTTGCATTCCAGGGTACCCAGCAGTTTCTTGGGCAGCTCAGGCCTCCTGGGTTTTGGCTCTGGAAAAGCCATGATGGGAGCAAGTAACTTCTTTCACAGATAAGTTATAAATTATTCTCCTGTAGTTTGCCAGCACAGCAACACTCTTAGCAATACCAGGATTAATATCAAGGTGAATTGATGATCATACTGCTTCTGGGAATTTGTTCTCTTCAGAGTAACTTCACCTTTTAACAAAATAACACAAATGCAAAGGGAAGTCTGTTTGCTGTTGCAAAATCCATTCAAGCAGCCATACTCCTCACAATAGTAGAAGACAAGCTGGCCTTTTTGATTAAAAGAAAAGTCTAATTGGCAAAAAAAAAAGAGAGAGAGAAAAGGACCTACTACATATATTTGTTTAAAAAAAAGGAAAAGGCCTACTACTTATATTTTAGTATTCCATAAATCATATAATAGCATATTCTGTCAGCTCTTAAGAAAGCCAATTTTCCTGATCCAAAACTGTTATCTTTACAACCTTCTGCAATGCATCGTGGCTCTTAAAAATTTCAAATACGCCTCCCGCCCCCAGGAAACCCCCACTTTCTCCTAACACTCTTAGCATCTCTCCCGAGCGAGTTCTACCTCTGAAACCGGTTTAGGCCTTTTTTTCCCTATATATTCTCCTTATCTGAGCCTGACTCTTCTATTAAGAGGGGAGTTTGAGAAAATTCCAACAACTTCCGCATGACTCAGTCCTTCTTGAAGTTTACCCGAGTCTGTACCGCCTGCTGCAAATTCAGTTCAACACCAAAGAGATACAGTACACGTGAAACCCAAGCGGCCACCGCTCAATACGTTCCCCCCGGCGCACCGCCCCCTTCTCTTTAGTTCCGCTCGTTCTCAGAGTCGCTTACCTGGTGTTGGGGAGAGAGGCCTTTTGTAATCCAGTCCCTTAGTCTTCCTGGATGAACCAATTCATGCCGTCATTCCACAGAAGAGTACAGTAGCTGCAAAGTACTCCGGGCCGGTGTGAACCCCGAACTAAAGAGCGGAACTACAACGGTTGAGGCCGGATGTGTTACGATTTTAGTTGCCCCCCAGCGGCGAAAGGAAGCGGAAGCTGAGCGGCACGGAGGCGGGGGGGGCTGCTCGGAGTAGCCAGAAGTCGAGTGCGATGTCCAGCAACAGCATGGCGGACCCGCGGCGGCCCAATCGGGTTCTCAGGTCAGCTCTAGTGGGGCTTAGGAGTCGCCATGGAAACGCCGCAGAAGGGGCTGGGGGGGGGGACAAGCATGGTAGCCAAGAACGAGGCACCATGACATCGGCTGAGTAGGGAATGGGAAAGTAGTGGTGATGCTGGCTGGGGTGCCCGCCGTCCCCCTAGCCATTGGGGTGACTGTGGCAATGCGGTGGAGCAGGCGGGAAAAGGAAAGCCTGTTAGCAAAATAATCGGGGTAGCCGTTGAGTTTTCTTCTTCTGTGGAAATTGCCCTCTTGTGTTGGGTGGTTAGCCTGATTCGGATGATCGAACGTGATCTATTTGTGCCAGTTTGCGTGTCCCAGTCTTGTCACCCAGATCCTGACAAGTGTGGTGCCTAGCTAACCTTTCTGCACGTACATGCTTCAAAATAAAGTCGGAGAAACTTTTTTCCTCCCTGGAATCCACTGCCTAGGATGTTGAAGTGCTCTGGAGGGTGCATCCCGCAACGTTTAACCTAATGGTGGGCTGTTGGTAGAAGTCTGTACAGAGGGGTGTGTGTCTTTATTTAGTCATAAGAAGAGAACTTGTAGATCATTAAGACCAGGAATGGGTAACGTGGCCCTCCATGTAGTTTTCAGCTGCAACTTACCCTGTTTCCCCGAAAATAAGACGTAACCTGAAAATAGTAGGATTTTTCAGGATGCTCGTAATATAAGCCCTACCCCAAAAATAAGCCCCAGTTGCGTGAAACTCCACCCTCAACCATTGTGCAGCATTGTGCAGCAACCAGAAGATGACATGACTGTACAGTATTTGAATAAATGTAGATTGCTGTTCATGAAAAAATAAAAATAAAACAAATCCCCTGAAAATAAGCCCTAATGCATTTTCGAGCAAAAAATTAATATAAGACCCTGTCTTGTTTTCTGGGAAACACGGTATGATTTCTCCCCATTAGCTGTGGTTATTGAACTGATGGGAATTGCAGTTTGACATCTGTAGGACCACAGCTCCCCACTCTTGATCTTGTCTAACTGCCTGTCCAGTGTAGGATGCATATACAGAATCCTTTACCCATGGTCAATTTCCAGGTCATATCTGTCAGTTTTAAAAGAGCCATATGAATAGTACAGCGATGAAGGGTGACGAAGTAACTTTTTATATAATTATATTTCTAAATAAATTTCTAAATGCCATGTGTGTATCGCTGTTCACAAATGATGCTGCTGTTATCTTCAACAGGTATGGCAATGTTTGCCTATTCACATTTCACAAAACACTTGTTTTCATGGTTCATGCCATGGTAGGAGGAGTGTAACTTTTCATGACAGTTTGCGTAATCTGGATGCTTAGGTAATCTGCTACCCTATCAATATTTTTTTTTAAAAGCTTCAGAGTTCCAGAACAATTTGTAGCAATTTTTTGTACTGTGCTATACATTGATCACCTTAAAAAAGAAAGGCCTCGGGGTACTTTCAGGTGCAACTGCAGGTTGAGGATATACTGCTAGATATAAAGCTAGAGCAAGAAACTCTTCTCATGACTTGACAGTGCAAATTTTAGATCTAAACTCATGCCCATTAAAAAACAAAACAGTTAATAGGAACATATACTTTATAATCAAACAGCCACGGATCATGATTGAGCCTCATGTATTTAAGCAACATTAAGGTGTGAATAAATCTTTCTTCCTTGAGCCTCTGTGTTTATCCTAAGAATGTCTTTATGTTTTTTGCCTCGTGTTTATGTTTTTGTGGCTAGATCTAATTTTAAAGCCTGATTTCATGTTTTATTTACCCCATAATGGCGTATTTTATTTATAGATACAAGCCTCCAACCACAGAGAACAACCCTACTCTAGAAGACCCAACACCAGACTACATGAATCTGTTGGGAATGATTTTCAGTATGTGTGGCTTGATGCTGAAGGTTAGTACTGGAACACTGTGGGTTTGACTTTGAGACTATTTCAGCAAATCAAAGGCAAGACTAGCTCAGCTGTGTGTTATCCTGTAACTGTTATTAGATTGTGTATGTCCAGTGAGTTCCTGATGTTGGTCTTTCATGAGGTATTAGTTGAGTTTGCAAGAGACAACTGAGTTGATCAACTTATTCTGGCAACTGGACTTTCAGTTTTCTCTCTTCTTCTAAATTGAGTTGGATTATATGCACAATATGCCTGACCTTAGACTTTCCCCATTTCCTTGCCACTTTAGTTTCTCTAATGTTGTTTCAAGTACATTAACTAAGGCACTTTCTACAGTAGTAACATAATAGAATACCATGTAGACCACATCCATCTACCTGTTTCCCTGAAAATAAAACCTAACCTGAAAATGAGCCCTAGTATGATTTTTCAGGATGCGCGTAATATAAGCCCAGCCCCAGTTAAGTGAAACCCCGCCTTCCACCATTGTGCAGCAACCAGAAGAAGATGACATGATTGTATTTGAATAAATGTAGATGGTTGTGCATGACAAAAATAAAATATCTTCTGAAAATAAGTCCTAATGCGTTTTTGGAGCAAAAATTAATATAATACCCTGTCTTATTTTTGAGGAAACACAGTATCACACCTCTATTAAGGCCAATCCATTATAATTGAATGCTGAGAGTTCAGTTGTTACAGCACAATACTGAATCTTACTGCTGCTGTATATAGTTTACTGAAGACATGCCAGTGTGTGATTGTCTTTGGACATAATCCAAATGGGTATTCAGTGCTGCACAGTGTGCAGGCATCCTTCAGTCTTGAGAAACTATGTTAACGTGCTCTGAATAGAGGTCTTGGAATAGTGTCTAGTGTGGCTGAGAAGGCCAATTCGAGAGTGACAATCCCTTCCACACTGAAGACAAATACAGTCTGTCCTCTATATTTGCGAAGGCTTTCACAGCTGGGATTTAATGGTTTTTGTGGGTTTTTCGGGCTCTTTGGCCATGTTCTGAAGGTTGTTCTTCCTAA